GTTCCTCCAAAGATAAGGAGATCTATGTCCCTTCATTGCGACGATGAGGAGGACATAAAGAAACATCCTTTTGTTTTCTCTGTTAATCTTCCTCCTTGCAGACCTGTGGATGTAGACATTAAAAACCAAATGTGTGACTCCCTTCACCGCCTGCCAAATGGTAGCGTTTACACTTTGGATCAGAAGTCCAGCTGTGATGGCTTTCTGGACCTGAACAGTCTGTGCTCCAGCAGCACGTGGGCTACAATCCCTCTCCAAGACCGAGTGGTCACGCCAACATTTCCTGTGCTGCCACATCTCCGACAAGGTCTGGGTCAGCCTTGCACCACCGCCAGCGCCTTGGTACTCCAAATGGAGCATGAACGGGAAACCGGGAACCTCAGTCACTGCCTGAAACTGGCTCAGGAACGGGAGGAGCTGGAGAGGGAGCTTCAGAAATATGCAGAGCAGAAACGGGGATCTGTGAGGGTGACCAAGAAGGTCCAACAGGACCTGGAAGCAGCTGAGAAGGGCTTTTCCTGGGAATATAAGAGCAGCACTCTGCCACACAGATGCCAGCAGAGCGGCAAACAGAATGGACACATGTCCTCAAGTCAGTTATCCTCATCCTCTGTCCAATGTGTCCCGGATTCTCCTGCAAGTACAGCTTATTTTCCGTCCAACAACAGCCGTCTTACTCCGTCATCTCAGGGTTGGTGCTCCTCAAAGCAACTGAGATCTGAAGGAGTCGAGGAAAAAACAGATGTCCGCCAAAACTCACGATCCAAAGTCTCACAAAAGCAAACAAACAATTCCCGCTCCAAGGCGCAGAGACAGCATAGCCGTAGTCATGGACACCTGTCCACACCTTCAGTCCACCAGAACATATCCTCAAAATTCTACAGTCCAGCCTTTGAAGACGCCTCAGGCTCTTTCAGAAGCAGAGAGCTCTTCAGTAGAGGAGAAGGTGAAGACACCTGTGCTGAGATGAGCGTAGATGATCCAGAGATGGAGATGTCCTCTGTGATGTCCACAAGGCCGATGCTGCACCACAGAATTGCTTCCCATGTGCAGCATGGGCGTCCTCTGTCTCCCAGAAGTCAGTGTGAGGACACAAGGAAAAACCTAAACTCTTCTCCAGGATTTTGGCGAACTACAAACTCTACATTTTTGGACTCCAAGCAGCGAAGTCGAAGCTTGGATTCCAGGAGAAGGAAAGACACAGAGTTCCCGACTCCTGACGCTTGGATAGAGTCACTGAGCCAAGAGAACTGTTCCTTGATATCTTCACATTCAAACCCTCCGATCTGGGATCAAAAGAACTTTGGCACCATAAAGAGGTCCAAGTCTCCTGCAAAAACTCCTTCAGCTTCTAGATCACCTCCCCCTGCAGACCAACAACCCTCCAACAGAAGAACAGACGGGTCCAAACCAAGCGCTACTCCACCAGCAGAGGCATTCATTATTTCAAAAGTGTCTTCCCCTCAAGAAGACGCTGTGTTCTGGGAACATGAGAACTTTGCTCAGAGGGAAATTCCCGCTGCTTCCCGATCTTCTCCTCCTGAAGGAGGCACACACAGGCTAACAGAGGCCATCTTTACAGAAGCATCTTCCTCTTGCGCTGGCCGTTTCTTTTCAGAGAACCAGAACTTAAGTTCCCATAACATCCCAAAACCGCCCTTACATTTTCATTACACCCCTCAGTCCACCGCACGTTCACCTCCCCCCGCAGCCCGGGTTTCCTGCAGCACCACCCCAGAGAGGGCCACACCAAATCCTGATGGCCCTCTTTTCAACAAACAAACAACAGAGGCTTCTCTCTACCCACAAATCATCAAAAGGTGTCCAAACCCTTCCCCCCAGGATGACGCAAGAGACGCCAAAGACTACGCTGCAGTAGAGCGGGAATCTTCTCAAAGTCATTACAACAATCACCGGGATCGGGAGGCACTGGAAGTGTACGACGGCGTTCCAGACTCCGGGAGCAGCTACAGCAGTTACGCCAGCAGCGGTCGAGGCAGCATGGAGCCGGCAAACGGACGTCTGTCCGTGTCTCACCTATCCCCGACCTTCACCAATTCACCGGAGACAGTGGAGGAGAGTCAGGAGGACGGCGTGTACCGTCGGCCTGTGGAACCCAGCCAGAGGTATTCACATAGAGAGTAATGAATCAGAGGGAAATGAGGTCAGTGTGGTCCATATAAAGCTTTCAAGGTGAGATGGATGTGGAGAAGTAGGACTAATATTTCAGACTCAGTACAGCTGCAGAGCCGTAGTGCTTTCATGAGGAGGGTGAGGACAAAGAAGCTGCGTTTCTCCACTCCCTTGTATTTTTATGAAGCACTTTTAAAAATAGCAGAGTTAGGCCAAAGTGCTGCGCCATGACATTAAATCTATAAAAGACATAAAACACCGTCAGGAACCAAAAACACATCTCATTCTAAAAGAATAAAGAGATTAAAGACACAAATCAAATGCACAACTTTATTTAAATGGAGACTTCATCCGGGACAAAAGCCTGGTGTAAACTCCACTCGCTGATAAAAACAAACACACACATTTTCAGCTTGTTAGTCAGATTCATGACCTGTGAGCTGTTTGTGTGACGACTTGTAACTCTCTGTGATTAATTACTAGACCTGTTGATTTACAGCACTGTGCAGTTCTGTCTTAGGCGTGTGGTGTGTACAGTTACTCTAATTCCACTTTTTATGTAGTGTTTAAGTCAGTAAGAAAAAATCAAATGTGAGAAATAAGAAAACAATGACTCACACCAGGGTAATACATTTTTTTAAAAAAAACATTTGTGCTGGACCTGCTCATTCAGCACAGAGGCTTTGTTTCTCAACCACTGGGAGGCAGTCCCACCTTAGACAGTTCCCATTGCTTCCAAGGTCTTGAATCATAAATTAAATAAACGTTGTTGTGAACGATCTACTCATTCTCAACATTTGATGTCAATACTTGAAAAGGAAAAGGCTGCTTGTTGGAGTCAACTAATTTATTACTCTCATTTGTTTGGTGTAAATATGAAGAAAAAAAAACAATACATTATCCCTGGAAGTGATGTAAGTGGGTTTGTCAATAATTGCAGTTTATCACATTTTATTAAATATTAATGTCTGAAACAACAATGTTCAGCTCGACAGCATGAGGCAAGTCTAACTTAGCTAAAGTTAGCTTTGGTGTTGACGATATTGTGGATTTAAAGTATTTCAGTCATAAGGAGCTCTGTTTACATGCATCAGTAATATAAATAAAGGTGTGTAAATTAGCTGTGGATACGTTTATAACATGTAAATAAGCAGAAATGATTTCAGTGAGAAAAAGTCATGAGAGAAGGGAAAAAAACATCTGCGCTCGATCTGACCATTTTATTTTATTGCAGAACCTTCTGTGGCGTCAGTTATTCATGAACTCACATGTTCTTACATTAAACACAGCTCTAATATCTGCCATCTGCGCTGCTCTCTGACCCACAGCGGGAGAAAGGCCTCGGTGGATGAGAACTTTGAGTGGGATGCTGCCGATGTTTACCCAGAGCCTGCACAGCCTGATGGTGAGAATTTTTTTTTATATGTGTTTGTGTTGTTACAATATGAAGTAGTAGTAGCAGAGTGAGGTGAGGGTCAGCCCCGCCTCTCTGCAACCCTGCTCAACGCCACACAACAACAACAAAAAACTGGAGACCATGTCACTTCTGACCCTGCTGGAGAAGCTAATTTGGCTATTTGGTGTGCTACAGTTAGCCATCTGCGTTCTTTCGTGCTTCTCTTTTCAGTTTGTTTACAGTTTGCGAGCTGATTTTCCTGGATTTCCGAACAGCCGGAGTCATATTTAGCAGCTCTGTTTATACACCAAATTAGTTTGTGCTGGATCTGTGTAAACGCTCCGTATCTGGAGGTAACTGTAGTCATATCATATTGTATCGCAGCCATGTAAACAGGGCGTAAACAGCACCGTACACCGTATGGGGTGCCCAACCCTACTTTTGAAACCCCTGATTTAGAGAAGCTGAGTTCCACTGCTGTCTCAGATCCATCACCACTGGTTAGGACAGAAACAGCAGTGGTAAAAAAAAAATACTAAAAAACTCTAAAATAGTTTCACATCTTTTATCCTCACCCACAGATCTGCTGTTAAATCTGCCTGAGTTGCTGCCATCTCCTCCTCTACCTCCTCCGCCTCCTCCGTGCTGTGACCTTCCCAGCATGCAGTGCTCCACACAGCCTGTAAAAAACTGCTATCTACTGTCTCTGCACTCAGGGCATCAAAGAAGCCACTGCTCTGCTGTTGCAGAACCAGACACGGTTCTGTTCTGATGTTCTGATAGAACCAGGTGCGTCAGTCACTCACCTCAGTCAGCAGGCAGAAATCAAAAAGGAAACAGGAAGACTTCAGAGGGATAAAAAAGAGCTTTAATTTGTTTTTGTACATATACACGAATCTGCACATACGCCTCAGCAGGGGGCGGGTTTCAAACCGACAACCCCCCAATAACAAGCTTTATTCTTGAAACACGAGGCTACAGGCTGTTTGAGGAGAGAGTTCCAAAAATGTTGTTGTTTTTTTTTCCCGATCAGACAAACGATAGCCAGGCTGACAGAAGAAAACATCAAACTGTCTTCACTCTCGTCCTGTGACTGGATCACTGTTTGTTTTTCACCATTGTGTCTGTGTAATTTCATGTTTGGTGCTGAAGGAGGCACTGGCAGGTACACACCAAAGATGAATTGAAACTCTTTTATTTTGCTTTCAGAGAATAGAAATGTCACAAATATCAAAATGCCCGGTGTTTTATTTTTGTTTTATTGTTATCATTTTTCTCTGTGGTTGATGTCTGAAGATTTTAACATTTGAACATTTGATTGTTTGTTTGTTCTGTTTCGTCTAACGGCTGTGGGAGCAGGATTTTAGATTGAAAGTTGAAGTTTGTGTATTTCAGTGTAGACAAAACTGGTAGAGAATTAGAAAACAGTAAGGAAAAATTAATTAAAATGTACTAAATGTTCATTCAAAAATGTCCAAAATCAACAAAACACAGCAGAAAAGATGAAATGTAACAGAAGCTCTGACAAAGAAAGACAGACTGACATTGATTTCTCCAAAAAATGAACCAATCTGAGTTCCAATGAGTTTGACCGTCAATGAAGGACTGTTGAAAAGTGCAGAAACAACAGCAAACATGCCGGCAGTACTAGCTACAGTATTTACCTCTCGTTCCAAATCCACTGAAACCTTTTCCATGGGAAAGAAAAACAGAATCAGAATGTTCCAGTTTGTTGTTGACTCTAAATCCCTAGAGCTGTGGGAAGAGCAGCGCTGATCGTTTATGTTCCAGCTACAAATGTAGAAATGAGAAAATGAAAATCTTGTACAGAAGGGAAACATTGATTTTAGTAGATGTAGTCTGCTGTAGCTCTGAATGAATATCAATACAGGACCAATATCCCACAATGCTGCTGCTGCTGCTGCTGCTGCTGCTGCTGATCTCAGTTCAGTTCAGTTCATTATGTGTTTGACTAATGTGAGCACCTGCAGCTGAAGTTCATCCACAAATCCACTGAGAACAGAGGTGTAAATCAGGACTCACCACCAGGGCGCCCACTCCACTTCACTGCGTTCTTCACCTGGTATTTGACTTTCTCTCATATTTCTCACTAATTATCTGCTTCTTTTTCATCAGTCTATTTTTACAAACTTCGAGTACAACTACAGATATATTCAACATTTGAAAACTTTTGGCTCTGATCCATGTCTTCTGGTCTATTGTGGGCTGGGTACACTGCTTGTCTGTACCAGGACTGTTGTAGCTAACGTTAGCTCTGGGGTCTGTACCATACCTGTTGTAGCTAACATTAGCTTTGGTGTCTTTACCGTTCCTGTTGTAGCTAACATTAGCTCTGGCGTCTGTAGCAGGACTGTTGTAGCTAAAGTTAGCTCTGGTGTCTGTACCATACCTGTTGTAGCTTACATTAGCTCTGGTGTCTTTAGCAGGACTGTTGTAGCTAACGTTAGCTCTGGTGTCTATACCAGGACTGTTGTAGCTAACGTTAGCTCTGGTGTCTATACCAGGACTGTTGTAGCTAACATTAGCTCTGGCGTCTGTAGCAGGACTGTTGTAGCTAAAGTTAGCTCTGGTGTCTGTACCAGGACTGTTGTAGCTAACATTAGCTTTGGTGTCTTTACCGTTCCTGTTGTAGCTAACATTAGCTTTGGTGTCTTTACCGTTCCTGTTGTAGCTAACATTAGCTTTGGTGTCTGTACCATACCTGTTGTAGCTAACATTAGCTCTGGTGTCTGTGGCAAGACTGTTGTAGCTAACATTAGCTTTGGTGTCTGTACCATCCCTGTTGTAGCTAACATTAGCTCTGGCGTCTGTAGCAGGACTGTTGTAGCTAACGTTAGCTCTGGTGTCTGTACCAGGAAAGTTACTGGTAGTAACATTTCCTCTGCTACATGCTTTGCAGTTTTGGTGCTGTTAATTATATTTGTATATACTTTCAGTTTAATTTTGATTAAAAAAATGTATTAATCTTTTTTTTTAATCCTAGATATCTGTGGCTAATCTTCAGTAGTAACTAGTGCTAGTGCTAACTTTTTGTATTTGGGCTGTTTGTAGGTTATTTCCTAAATGTAAGTCTACTTGTGGGACCTCTGCTGCTTTTTGTTTGTAGGTTTTACACGAGTACCTGCTGACTCATCAGAAACCTTAGGTGTGGTAAATGTAGACTTGAGCTGAGATTCAGTCCTGAGATTTGTGAAGCTGATCGTGAGACTTAATTAAAGTCTCGGAGAGAAAATTGTGTATTAGACCACAGCTCATAAAAGTGACCGTTTGTCTGTTACTCTATTTACTTAGTGAGATTGGCTTTAAAACAGGAGCAGGTTTATTAGACTATTAAAGTTCAGAGTGAAATATTTACAAATGTCACGCCCACGCAGCTCTGGTCCACACACAAAAAAGAATTATGTGCTTTTAATGGCCCACATCTGTTGTCCAAAATGTGGGCTTTATTTCTTCAAATTTAATTGTGATTGTCCTCTGGTTTCCTGTTGGACCAGTCCACTTTGGTCTGGTTTAACTTGGGCTCTCGAGAATGTGGCCCACATCCTGGACACCAGTCCGCCTTCTGGCTACCTGCTAGCTCCATCTCTAACACTCTTCTACCAATCTATCCACTGTCCCTCCTCTGCACATGTCCAGAGGAGGAGTGGAGTTTTTCAGTTTAACGTTTTCTAAAGAACCACAGGCGTATACACACACACACACACACGTGCGCCTTGTGCCTTGTTGGCACCTTCGTTCTCAGTGTTTGATTCTCATCTGACTGCTGTTAAATGGCTGCTGGATAAAGTCATTGAGCAGATGTGATTAGGTTAACCTTGTCAGACATGAACTTACTTGAACTAGACACAACCATGCAGCCCTTCAACTTCAATGTCATAAAGTCGGCATAAAAGAAACACTTTTCAGCTCTGACTCTCAGGCTTTTGTGTCCTATGTCGTTTCTGTTAAAAACATCTATTGAATTCAGTCTGAAGACGGGCTAATAAACTGAATACGATTGATTTGAAAGTGGAAAAAAAATTGAACCATTTCAGATTAAAAACATGACAAAGAAACTGTTGTAGATGAAGATAAAAAAGACACACCAAAGCTCTGCTGACTCTTTATCACAGCCTGGTCTTCACATTGAGAGATGTTTGGGTTTTTACATACTGTATGTTTGAATGAATAATGAAAGGTAGCATCAGCCGAACAAGTTGTTAATTAGCCGAGTCATTCTTTGAATAAAGACACATTTGTCACATTTGATATTTGTCACACACACGCAAATAATAATCTGTTCTTTGAATCATTTTAAAAACAAACTCAGTTTAGTTTCTATTAGCAGCTCAGCTGCAGCTTTAAACCAATTTCACACTTTTTCTAATTTCACACCATTTAGTCTCATTGCACAGGCTCTTTATTATTCCTCTTTGTTTTGCTCTTTTGAGCGGTCAGCAGCAGCAGCACCACCAACAGCTGATTTCCTTTTATTATTTACCATCGAAAATAAAACTAACACGAAGACTCCGAGTTGGAGTCCGAACAGCTCTAATCATCTGCAGCCAAATGTAAAAAAGGGAGTAATTATCTACTCCATTAGTCAGACTAATATGTTTGGACCAGGATCATCTCAGGACAGAACATGAGCAGCAGGTTTTTCAATCATTCACGAATCAGTCTTTTAGAGCAGAGCCATTCACGTGGAGCACAGGAGAACAAGGGGAACCGATTTTCTGCTCCACCACTGTTTCTGTTTCCTGAAGCAAAAAAAGAAAATCCCAAAAGTGTCAGATCTTCTGTATGTGGAGTCACTGAGTTTCTAAGAGACATCTAAGACCAGTGTCGCTCCAGTCTCCAAGTTTAATTAGCAAAATAAGTTTAGTCTTAAAGTTCAGTAAAATCGTCAACACTCGTGTCAAGATGATAAAGTTAAAGTTGTTTCCTCACTACTGAGGTCCAGGTCCAGAGTCCAAAACGTAGGTTTAATTCACAATAACAAGTTCAAATCCGACTGGAGCCTCCAGTCCTTAAGTCCGAGTCACAATCACTTGAAACTTGACTTGTAAAGTTGAGGTTTCCGTGACCAATCCAATGATTGTATATACTGTTTATCAGTGGGGTCTGCAGGATTGACAGTCACATCGTTCAGTTGGTTTAAAAACACAACGTTTTCTCAACACGTCCAAGTTCTGGTACCTCTACAGGAAGTGACCTTCATCTGTGTGCGTGTCCTGTCATTGATCTATTTTAAATTGATGACCTCATTAAAATGGACAGTGTTTCTGTGCGTCCTTGAGAGATTAAAAAAAAAAATACTGTATAATTTTCATGACAGATCACTGTTTTAAAATTTTTTTAAAAATGAAAATATTTAACTGAAGAAAAGCCTTTTATTGACATAAGTGTCAAGACATTTGAATTTTTATTTTTTTAATGAACTGACACTGTAGCCGTGTCTGTGGACATATTTGTGCTTAGTTTTTATTCTTGCTCCTGAATGATGTGAAAAAGTAATTAAAAATATTTCACATATATATTTAATCCTTTGAAAGGTTAAAGGTTTCATATTTGCGGATAGAACTATGGCAAAGAAGGAGTTTTTGAACTTTTTTTTTTACTTTTACTGTTTACTATTTTAACGACTAACTGTCAGAGTTTTAACATTTGTGATGATGTGTGGAGCTGAACTTTGGTTTAACACTTTTATATGTTTGGTTTATTTGTGTGACGAATTGAAATGTCGACATTGTTGTTTAACAGATAAATATATAAATAAATAAGATATCTCTTCTTTATAATTCAAATACTACAAAAGTAGTTTATATGTAAATGCAGCCCTTGAAACTGGGTCTGTATTATTTTACATTTAAAAGAGAACATTATAAGAAGAATTTATTGATCCGGTGTAGATGAGATAAATCTCTTATTCTTTGTTTCACTGCCTATAAGACAGACCTGTAACTGTGCAGCAACATTTTGACTGTTTAAATGTGCTTTGGTATTTTTGTCATATTTTTTATTAAATAAGCATGATTCCTTTCTGGATTTGTTTCTTCTTGTCCTGACTTGAATAATTTTTTTTTTTTGCATTCACAGTGGTGGGTTTTTTTTTCCCCATCAGACTGTATTAAAGCAGCTCGTGCACTTTTCTGCACCAAAGGGAACATAAATAATTAAACCAAACCTCTTACATTATTCTCATTTGCTCCTGCTGACTCTGTTTTTGTAAACAAATACTTTTAGAAAATCAATGAAACTTTGTGAAGACAAAGATCAGTTCTCAAAGGAACAGGAAAAAACACTTCAAACGCCTGTTTAAATCTTAAACAAACGGAAAAACAAAGTGAAGAATCTTACGATTTATTAATCTGACAGCTGATGCTTCAAAACACTTTCTCACTCCTAACGTCATAGAGAAGAAAAGTGATTTAAGCTGAAGGACCAGAGTCCTTGGAGACAATCATGGATTTATATCACAAGGACAAAGAGGTTATTGACCATCTGCTACCTCCATCACTGAAGTGTTTTGTGACTTCATTGTTGTCCATTGCTTAGATTTACAGTACCTGAGTAATAAAAACTCATCATAAGGCAATGGACCAGTAGCTACTGTGAGCTAAAATCACTGATTTTCTCTATGGACTTTGGTCTGTGAGCTAAAACCACTGATTTTCTCTATGGACTTTGGTCTGTGAGCTAAAATTGCTGTTTTTTTTACTGGGCATTGTACCTTATTACATATAACATTTAGCTTTTATTACCTATTAAATAAAAATGTGCAAAATTCTGATTTTCTCTTTTCTCTATGGACTTTGGTCTGTGAGCTAAAATTGCTGTTTTTTTTACTGGGCATTGTACCTTATTACATATAACATTTAGCTTTTATTACCTATTAAATAAAAATGTGCAAAATTAAGGAAAGTTCTTTCACCAGGTTTCCTTTATGACCTGACCAAATCTTGGATTAGTACTGATTGTACCCCAGGACCATTTACATGCTCCTATCAATGCTACACTGTAGCTGAAATATATTTTATATTTGTGATATTATACTTAAACAGGTCTTCATCAACTAGAATTTCCCGGCCCACATTCAGTACCTCGGAGGACATCATAAGGGTTGGTGTCCCCCTGTTGTTGACCTCTGGTGTAGATAACAAGGTGAAGGCAGATTATGTTGGCTGTGACAGCATTGGTGATGTTGATGATATCACAGGCATAATTGTGACAACAGTGTTGTACCAGGAAGTGAGCAGATACGACCAGGAAACAGATGTAGAATGATCTGGAATGATCTTCTGAAGCCAGACTCAGGCTCTTCTTCAAGATGTGACCAGTCTGACTGTTGTTCAAGGACAACAGCAGTGGAAGGTTTGTTTTCATTAGTGCTATCTTTGACTTGTGCTGCTGCTGCTGCTGCTGTTGTGAATTATCAGTGTCTGGAGGTGAAAAGCTTTTCTCAACAGTCAGAGCAGCAGCAGCAGCAGCAGCAGCAGTCGTGTCAGCAGCAGCCTTAGAGCAGATGAGGATGTGTGTGGACACAGCAGCAGCAACTACCAGGAACCAAGGGCATTGTCTCTGTAAAAAAACAGTCACTACTACAGACAAAAAAGAAACTAGTGCATGAAAATGTATGTAATTTTATTATCATCATCATCTAAATAAAATGGACAGGAGACTTTATTGAACAATTACAGGAAATTGTAATTTCACAATAATTTTACATAATAATTATACAAATAATTTTACATACTCAGTACTGTAATTTTACAGTACTGAGAACTTGAACAACTACTTGGAACATCAACAAATTGTCAAAGTAACAGCAGCAACTGGAAGAAAAATATTTTTTAAAAATGGTTAGAAGGAGCTGCATGGTGTCTTTGTGTGTTACCAGTTGTACAAAACGGGAAAGGAGGAACTGTGCTACTGAATGAGAAAGTCAGGAGTGGCAGAAAAGTATGTGAGGGTTGTGAATAACGTATTAGGCCAGCGAGAAAATAGTTTGGTGTGCTCTCGGGTGAACTCATATACATATATGACATATATTACATATACGTCAGTGACTGTTGTTTATACATGTTTAAAGCAACGCCATCGAGAATAAATCTGACAACAACTACCGCAACAGCTGCTTGGTTAACGCCCTTCAAAATAGTCAAAGTGACATCACCATTACTGTGAACTGCTGTCGCTCAGAACCATGAAGCAGAAGAGTATCTGCAGCAGAGTCTGACTGTAATATCCATGTGGAATGTTGGGTGTTTGAAGCGGAGCGCACACATGCAGCAGACATAGACACAGGAGCGGGCTAGAATCTGCATTTTAGGGGGCAATCTAGCTTAGGCGCGGTACAGTGGCCCTAGTGTGAGTGCACCCTTGGAGAGACTGATGGGTTCAAGCTAGGGGTGGGGTTACATCAGACCTGAGCCCCCTTTTTATTTACTATGGTGATGGACAGGTTGACAGAGGAGGTGGAACTCTGCTGTGCTGAGCTGAAAACCTCCGCAAAAAGAGGGTGGTCCAAAGATAAGTTGAACGTTTGTGTCTAATAAGGAGTGAATGGGTGAACTGGTGTCTGAGGACCATGGGCTCCCTCCACAGTGCTGTTGGCTGATAGAATTACCAGGAGTTCAGGTACTGCTGGGACTGTTCCACACAGACCTGAAACAGGGAACATAAACAGAATTTATCACTTAGCAAGGCAATTTAACCACAAACAGACTGAAAAAACTGCTAAGTTCTATAAAAACAGTGTGGTCCTAAAAGTTACACACATGCAGGTTTTCAGTGGTTTTAAATATATATATATATATTCTGTATTACTATTGGTGAACTACAGTATAAATAAACCTTCGACCTTTGACCTGGCTGCAGGTCAAATCCCACATTTAAAATCTTCTTTTGATAAATGCAACTGTGAATGAGGAGGCGCGAAGGAGGTGCTAAATGTCTGCTCTGAGTGGAAACAGAATTTGGAGAAACTTCTCCTGAACATAACGAGTTGTTTGTGCAAATCCTTCTCTCTACACACACACACACACACAAACCCTTGTTTGTTAAGGTTAAGATCTCTGACCTCCTCCCCTCTGATCAGAGAAGAACAGAATGAGTTTGAGTTTTGTTTAATGAGTAGTCTGTTTTCACTACAGTGAGAAAGGACCACATACCTTTAGAACCCAGTGTCAGAACTGTTTTAGATGATATTTTATCACCAATGGAACTCATTGCTTAAAAACAATAACAAAGGTCAATTAGACAGTTAGACAGGAGTTAGATAATGAGGTAGACAAGACGAGGAGTTAGATGAGGAGGTAGATGAGGAGGTAGATGAGGAGTTAGATGAGGAGTTAGATGAGGAGGTAGATGAGGAGTTAGATGAGGAGTTAGATGAGGAGGTAGATGAGGAGTTAGATGAGGAGTTAGATGAGGAGGTAGATGAGGAGTTAGATGAGGAGTTAGAGGAGGAGGTAGATGAGGAGGTAGATGAGGAGGTAGATTAGGAGTTAGATGAGGAGTTAGATGAGGAGGTAGATGAGGAGTTAGATGAGGAGTTAGAGGAGGAGGTAGATGAGGAGGTAGATGAGGAGTTAGATGAGGAGTTAGAGGAGGAGGTAGATGAGGAGGTAGATGAGGAGTTAGATGAGGAGTTAGATGAGGAGGTAGATGAGGAGTTAGATGAGGAGTTAGATGAGGAGGTAGATGGGGTTAGTGGTTAATTAGTAGGTTACGTCTCATCATGCTTGGAGAGCAGCAGGTATAACGAGAGGTCTGTAGGTAACGAGTCACTTGTGTTTGGGTTTTGAGGTTTGTACGAGGTAGTAATGAGATCATTCACACTTGTGAAAAATGTTCCCATGTATGTTCTATAAAACACTTAGAGTATCAAATCAGGGAACTGGGTAGCTTGATAGCATCAGTAAAAGGAACCTTGTGAGGTTCCTCAGTATTCATAGCTGACTCTGTGAGGTCATTTTCCTCATGACCGTCCTCTACAGGTTCCTGATGAAATTCTTCATGGCCACTTTTTCTTATTGTCAGGTCAGTGAACATATTACTTTTATGGTTCACCAGATTTTATTCAAAAAAAATTGGTGCGACCTTCTAAACAGCTGCAGCTCTTCTTACATACACTTCTCATTGTGAGCTAGAACATTGATGGACATTTCTCTGCAGCTGGTGTGCTGCCAGGTTTTAGAGCGGAGAAGAAAGTTCTCTCTGACCTTGAATCTGTCTGTGAATAAATGAACCCCGCACACCATCAGTCGACGATAAACACTGAAGAAATTTCTCTCTTTGTCACCAAGAACTAAACATGTCTCTGTTACTGAGCAGCAGCAGCAGCAGCAGCGGCAGCAGCAGACCTGCTCCAACAGTACTAATGTGTACTAATCATAAGTAAACAGCCTGGTGGCATGTGAGCTAATTGTTATAAAAAGACTTAAGAGTTGCTAATAGTAGCTCATATTTAATTAAAGGAGAAAATAATAAATGAATTACAGAAATTAAGAGTTTGGCTAATCCTTCAACATGTGTTGAAGGATTTATTCATTTAGCGCTAATGTTTATTGACAACACTAGTCTGGAGAAAGGAATGTGAACAGAACAGACTAAGTCAGCTGCACAATTATATTTAATATCATAAAACCTAAATTGATTGCTAAAACACTAGCCAAGAGGTCCATCTTCGTTCGCGTATCTGTTACCGGATTGCTGGGGCAGCAGTCTCCAGGACCACCACCCAAATCACACTGCACCGTACCAACCCCCCTGAACCTTCCTGTGGGTGGTGAGTCCACTGGAAGGTACCAACCGCCCTAACCTGGATTAGATCTTGCCCAGGAGGTGAACCCAATCCAGACATTGCCTCTGGGCCAAAGCAATTTCTTAACATTGAAACAAAACAAAAAAATGAAGAAAAAAAAATTACAAAGAAATAATTTTCTTTAAAATTGAGATAGCCAAAAACAAAACATTTATACAGAAAGTACTTAAAAGAAAGTGCTAAAAAAAATTCTTCACATTTCTTCAGCCCAACAATTTGTACTGTATTTTGCTAAGTCTGTGTTAACTTTCATGTGAATATTTAGTAATTTATTCAGGTTTTCACCAGTTTTTTCTCTGACATTTCACATTTATTGACTGGCTGCATATTACAGCTGACTTTGAGCTGCATTCTTCCTATTAAATATTTTGTCAATATTCTGCTTCATTATGTATTTCCATTTTCCCCAAAGTTATTTTTCAAACTTAATGAGGTTTTCCTCATATTTTCAGACGACTTTAGTGGTGTTTAAACATAAAAGATCAGGCCTGCCGTTGACAAAAAGTGAAATTAGTTACTTGTGTGCCACAGACGCCAGGCTGAACATTGACATCACACATCAGGGTTCAACAGTTTGAGGTGTCACAAGTGGGATGTCATCCTGACAGTGTGACAAGAAACACTTTCCTCCAGTGTGTGTTTATTGCTTTTTATATAACACTTTTCTTTCTACCTGCTCTGTCCGACCGAGGTGTTTCAGGATTTTCTCTGGATGTGACAGGAGAACAAAAAGATGGTCTGAGGTGGAGGTGACAGTTTGAGTCTGAGGGCCACACAGTGAGCGACAGCGAGGGTCAGTGCTCCTATCGTCAGAACATCACTGCAGAGCAGATAAAGAGCAGACAGAAGTAGCCAATCTCTGATAGCGATGTCTGCAGTGACATGAGCAGCTCGTCTTATCTCATGTTTTCTCACTTGACTTAGGATCTGAGGTCAGGAGGTCACAGCTGATTTTTTTCTTCCACTGTGTCAGATCTTAGACTGCAGACTGACACAGAATCTACACTGGGACTAACGAGTCCCAACTGAGGCCTGGGGGCAGATCACGGCATGTGGATAGGTTTTCTGTTACCCAGCAGCAAGTAAGGGAAAAAAAACATTTTTCTATGTATTTCATATATTATATTTAAGTATATTTTTGTGTTTCCTGCCAGAGTCACATACACTTGTCCATCCATTTAAACACAAGTCTTTGTCATTAGAAGTACAGTGATACTTGAGAGGTCACCATGGTTAGTAAACTGTTAGCTGTGTTTCTGTGTCACTGGCTACAGTTAACTTAGATAAACCTGAGCTTGTCATATTTACAGCTAATCTTTTCTTTAGTTGACTTTTTATTATTTTTTGACCTTTTACCCTTTTGGAAAATGTAATCTACTCTGTGTGGTTTTGACTTTCAAGTACTTTTAATTTTAATTAGTTCTCTCTCTAACTGCCATCTTATCCTAATCTCCAATACTGATTTCTAATTATATTTCTTAGTCTTAACCTCTGATCCTAACCAATAATCCAAATTTCAAATTTCTAATCCTAAATGTAATCTCCCACCCTAAATTCCAATAGTGTTGGAAATGTTTCATATTATTATTATTATTATTATTATTATTATTATTATTATTATTATATTCCTTAATTCCAATCTCTCATCCTAACCTCTAATCCTAATGTATAATTATATTTCTTAATCTCAATCTGTAATCCTAATTTCAAAACCCTACAGTCTAATCCTACCTCATTGTTGACAACAATAAAATACCTTTAGGAGAATGTAGAGTAGTAATGTACTGATTTTAATAAGGTCTAGCTGTAAGTCATTTTTACAGTCCTAAATGTCTTGGTTTACATTTATGTAATAAAAAAATGTTGTATCTAATGAATGAAAATGTAAATAAAGTTCTTTCTGAAGCCAGACTTGCTGTAGTGCAGACAGATACGTCAGAGATCTCCCCCTCCTCTTTTTCTCCTCCCATGGGAGAGTTTTGGAGTTTCCACAGCAATTAGTTGAGTAGACGCCACGCTCTCATTCAGCCTGAATCCATCCTGCTCCGCTCTGCAGCAAACTTTACATTTGGTAATGAATTAAGAGGCGTGCGCTGTTAAAGGAGACTTTTGCTGACATCTCTATAAACCGTAAGATAAGCTGGGCCTAAATCAAGAAAAATGCCGAGGCAGCAGCAGGCAGTCCAAGGAAAAATGTGAGTGAGAAGAGCATTGGGATGGAGATAACAGTGGGAATATGGGCCTTCATAAAACACGCTGCTCTCTCTTAATTTGAAAAGGCTTTTAAAGGTGAATGCGGAAGAAGGACATGGACAGAAAATGATGCTAAACATTGGCTGTTCAACTAAGAAAAATATATTTGTTGACGAGCAAGTGATAATGAGGTGAAGCAGGGGTAAATGACTGAAGGATAAAAGAAAAAAAAATTCTAAAAGTCAGGGCGACTTGAGGAAATGAGCCAATGGCTTTCCTATACAGAAATGAAATGAAGGACTGAAACGGACCACTTGTGTCAAAGACATTTGTGGTTTTATTGCCATGGTTCTGAGGTTACACAGACAGCTCTTTTTCAAACATATAGAGTAGGCACTGTAAGTAGGAGATAAGTGTGTGGTGGAACTAGAGAAGAGAGTACCAGGGTCAACACCGTTAATGCACAAACACTTGACTGTTGCCGTAAACCAATATCTGGCTCATGTGAAGCTGAGTGAGAAGTGAAGATAAGATAAGGGATGTCACAATTACTCCATATCACAATTAATTGCGGTACTCTGCATTATTTTTAAGTTATCCTTAAAAGGTTACTCTAACACCTTAATAGATTTAGAAAATACTATACCGGAACTATAATATAACCCGCGTCCTGCCGCGCCTGTTGCTTTGTTTTCGGTCCGTCTAAGTTTCAGAACAGATGCGTGAGGACGCGGGGAAAATGGCAGAAGAAGAGTTATTTCCTCAATCAACACATTACATAAACCGTGGGAGTTATTTTGGCTACAGAAGAAAATTGACCGGGGTGTCGTTGTGGACGACGGATTGCTAGCATTTAAAGCATGCTAAACAAATGCGGTGGAAGGAGGAAATACATCCGACATGGTCTATCACCTGCGGCACAACCACCTGACTTTGTTCGCCAAAGTAAAGGTAAATACACATTTACTGGGTTCAATTACGACGATGTTTTCCTAACGTAACATTAACTTCGTAGGACATTAAATGTTTGCAAATAATTGTGTGCGACAACGACACAGGTTCGGTTTCAGTGCAACGTCACAAGTTACACGGCATTCACCTAACATTACATTATACTGTTCTTTAGTGTCAGTGTTTAGTGACCTGTAGAGAAAAACGCTATATACGCTAAACATACATCCATATATATGTATATATATACTGTACACACACTCACAGTATTACAATATTACATTTACAATATTACAATGGGATAATTTTATTTTTTCTTAATTTTTCTGCATTGTGTTTTTAATTACTTAACTTATACGTCTATGCTATATAATAAGAGAAGCTTTTGGATGTTTGCATTGGATGCAGTATGGACTAATAATTGTGCATATAGAGAACAATTTTGCTTTGAAATAAGCCCCAAGTACCACAAGCAGTGACTTGCACAGAAGGATGTTGAATTTACTAATTTGAGTGTGGAGACCCAAGTATCCTATAATGAGGAAGAACTTTCCTCCCATGCAGTTCTGAGCTTGTCTGTAGGGGCACTCCTAAGCTCCAATAGCTTGGAATAATAAGATGAAATTAGTCCCTTTTTGATTGAGTCTGTGTAAGGGACAGTGTCAACTCTGCTGTTGTTGTTACAGATCGGGACGTCTGAGACAGAACAAAGTGTATAGCCTTAAGATACCTAAACAAATAACTAAGAATTAGGGAGGCCAAACTTTCTACACAGCTATTTGACTGAACACATATTTAAAATAGATGTATCTTTCCTGTACCAATCTTGAAAAAAAGTGTCCTGACATGATTGTTACCTTTGTTTGAAATGTTAGTTTGATGCAATGGGGCTTAAGAGAGAGAAGCTATTAACCAAAATACTTCACAATGGAATGGGATACTACACAGTGTTTCTCAAGCACGTGTGGTAATAGCAGGGTTAAACTAGCACTAGCCTCTTCTTTTGTTCTTGGCTTTCTGCTTTTCTCAGCCATTCTCAGGTTTTGTATAAATAAAGCAAAAATTTAAAAAATAAACAGGGAAGATGGGATTTTGCTTTGGCCTGAAAAGTGCACAACGTTTTGGTCAAAAAAGTTAAAAGTTCACAGGAGCACTTGGGCTATGCAGCTCCTCCATTTAATCACCAAGAAGAAGTTCTACAATGTTTCGGTCTTTGACTAAACTGTTTGGTGAAGCTATTCAAACTCTTTTTCATGGAGTTTGTTAATGTGTTGTCAAAGTTTGATGAGACCTTCACTCTGGTTGGAAAACACTTCTGACAGAAAAATGACAATTGTTTAATTGATTGACAGAAAAACAAACTCAAAATCTGAGGCTCAAGAACTGCGACAAGAACTGTTATTGAAATTAAAAACTGTGTGAAAAAGTGAGTTTGATCTGAAATAAATGGTCAACAATTTAATCCAAATCTGTGAATTTGTTACTGTATTCCTGTCTTAGGTTTTAGTATGGCCTATATATATATATATATATATGTGTGTGTATATATATATATATATATGTGTGTGTATATATATATGTATATATATGTGTATAATGTGTATATCAGTGTGACAACAGAAAGATGTCATATGACTGATTTTCTTCTTCTCAGTTTGAGTTTTTGGCTAACAGCATGTCATTAGTGCATGAATGAGTGTGCACGTTTTTGGTAAAGCCCTGGGCTTATCTTGGTGTCAGCCACCTGAGGATCTGCTGACACAGCTCTGTTCTTCTCCTCAGGGTTTGGAGGACGTTCACTCTTCTTCTTCTTCTTCTTTCTCCTGCCTCACTGAACAAAGACGCCACCAGCAGCACGTGGCTTCACTTTAATGGCTGAGAAAATGTTTCTTATCACGGCTGAGCTTGTCTCCTATTCACAGCTATTTCACATTTTTGGAATAATTTGGTCTGTGTCACTTAAGGGGTGGGGGTTGTGGGGAGTGCAACAGCTTCAAACATTTCTTCTCCGTTCTGTCTGTGACATCCGTGAACCTCTGCAACATTATTTATTCACTTTTGTAGAACCAGCAGATGTTTAGTCTTGATTTACTGGAACCTGTGGTTCCTCACAAATGATTTTTCCCCGTATTTGTGGGGTTCTGTGAAATTATATTTCATAAAGTCAGTTATAAGGTCAGTTTCAATATTATAATATAATAATAATTAGACCAGTGTTTCTTACAACAAATTCAAGAGCTTAAACTACTTACTTACGCACCAAAGTCCATAAAGAAAATCAGTGATTTTAGTTCACAGACCAAAGTCCATAGAGAAAAACAGATGGTTCCAGGATCGAATGACCATGTTTCCAAACTACCAACCCTGGAACAAATTGTAGAGAAACTGTTAATATATTTTAAACAATATACACAGTATTTTTTAACTTTCTCTGGTGCCATGGTCGGTGTTCACATCGGGTTTTTACTCTCACTCTGATGAGCACATCAATCAACAAGTTAAGAAAAGAGAGGCACTTTACAAGGATAGTCCAGGGATTCTTAATGGATGGATGTGTGTGCGCCATATTTTCTTTTTAAAAAAGAGCACTCCATGTTAAAATACAGTCACACAGAGTTTTTTTTACATAAGCACATGCTAACAGTAGCAGTTTTGTTGCTAGGCCGCAGAAGAGGAACTAGCTGCATAGAAGATAAAAAAAAGCAAATAAAACTGCAGTTAGTAAAAGCTTCAATCAATGAAATCAATCAATGAAAAAACTTTGAACACCTTGAACCTGAATCTGACCTTCAGAGTAAACATTGTAAAGTATTGGTGTTTATAATGAATGTTGATGACTGTCACTGAGACCAACACACACAGGATTATTTCTATGAAATAATTTAAAATTAGAAAATAGTCAAACTTGTCTCCAGCTTCAGACAATGTGTTTCCAAGGCTGCAAAATTGTGGAATTGGAATAGGTGGAATCTCACAAGAACCTGTTGTGTCAAATGCTTCAAATGTTCTTTATAAGTGCTCAGAGTGGTTTTAACTCCAAAGTCCACATAGAAAATCAGTGATTTTATCAGCTGGTCAACTGCGTTAATTTAAAAGATAAGTAACTGCAACGTTTGGATGGACTGGTTGGTTTCTCCTCAGCTGTGATGGAAGCTTCTCCTCCAGTGGTATCGATCTCCTCCTGCTGTGGCTGAGGACGCATACATGAATTGCAATTATGTGATGGCGATTTAATGTGTGCGTGTGTGTGTGTGATGAAAAGCCTACTTTGTAGGCACTCACTGTTTGTTCAGTGGAACTTAATTTCTGTTCAATGTCTACAGTCAGTTAATGCCTGGTCATGAAGATTTTTAAAGAACTTTGATAAACTTGTTTTTTTAAAAATGTATTTTATTATTTATAAAAAGAAATCCGTACAGTTTTACCTGACTTGCAGTAATTTTCCCTTTTGTTCTGTGACAACAAACACTTCTTTATTGAAGCCCATTTCTGTCACTTAAATAGATTTTTAAGTCAAAATAATGAGATACTAACTTATAATAATGAAAAAAAGTATCTCATAATAATGAGCTAGTGTCTCTTAATAACGACAAAGTGTCTTTATTATGACATTTCTCATTATCATGACTGGGGTCTGAAAGAAATGGCATGTACCCAACTGTCAAGCAGGCAACTCTTCAGGTCATAGTAAGAAACTTTTCTTTGGATGTTTTGTGTCATCATTATAGCAGTGAACTTCAATGACTTGGTGTGGGTGTACTGTATTAAATTATATATGTATATGCCGCTACAATATTAGCCATGTCATGTTGCCACAAACCCGCATTTGTTGTCTTTCTTCTTTTTGTCAATATTTATTGGGTGTTTTGTTTTCCTTTTATTTTATTAACTACTGTGCCTTAATTTTGAAAGCCAATAGGCACCGTCCAGAATTATGTGCAGGTTTTCATCACACATAAAAGGATTTTTCAATGAATTCATTATTTGAAAAACATTTATCAGAACCTGTTATCTGAATCACTTTCTTTTGCTTTTCCGACTTCTTGCCTTTTCTCTCCTAAGTCTTCAGGATATCTTCTTTTTATTAAAAAATAAGCCTAAATCAGTTCATTAGATAGGTCGATGTTTATGAAGAGAGATGTTTTCAAATATATCTATTTAAATTGAATATGTTAGCTACAATAAAGAACAAATGAATATTTCTCAAACATTTATTGTGACAAATGAGTGTACAGCATACCCCACCTACTTTTAGGGGACAACATTTTATCATCTTTACCTCTAGAAAAGTGCTTCACCAAGTTGCGGTAAAACAAATGTCTTCTTAACCCCTTTGAGAAAAGGGCCCCATATCTTATCGAATTTATTGGAGCAGCCTGCTAGTGACAGCCTACGTTTCTCCAATTTAAGAAAATAGAGAGTATCACCCAATGGGTGTGATGTGGAGGTGTTGTTGCTTTCCACTTCATAACTATTAGCCTTCGAGCCACCAACCTGGCAAAGGCAAGAGTGTCATAATTGGGTTTAGATAGACAGTGAGATGTTGGGGCCACACCGAATAATGCCCCATTGCCTCTGACATGGTGTTAAAAACCCCTATCCAGTACACTATATTATAACTCTTGGATAATCGCAACTTTGTGTAGTAAGTTCGATGTACATCTTTTATTGAATAAGACCATGTCTCGAACAGATAGAGGATTTATGTACCCGATTGAGAATCTGGGCCCAAACTTTATCAGAAATAGACCCTCCCAAATCATTTTCCCATAATGTTTTTATAGAATTATTTGGCTTGTGACGTAGAAGATGAATTTAATTGTAGATATGAGAGATTGAACCTTTCTGAGTAAGTGGTGGTGTAAGGAAGCTGTCTGGAGACGAGTCCACTGGGAGATGGGAATGTAGGAAATGTATCCTGGACAAAGCTAAGAATCTGTAAGAATCTAAAACAGTGAGAACTTGACAACCAGTTGCTGAAAGGATGCAAAAACATTATCAATGTAAAGGCCCTTAACAGTAGTAATTCCAAGATATCGCCAGTTTACAAAAAAAAGTTTATTATAAG